GTTCTGTTCAGCCTTCCCTGTTCACGGAACTAACCGTTGACCGAGTTTTCCATCACCACGGACAGAGGGGCTCTGCGCCCCCCAAGATGAGCCCCTGACACTTGGTGCTTGCTTCTGCGGAGCGGTGATTCTCCTGTGTCTGGGACGCTGGACTCTCGTGACGCCAGGTCCTTGGGCGACCTCACCCTCGTTAGCTGCAGACGTCCCTCTTAGGCAGATGGACCCAATGCCTTTGACCATCTCCTGTTGCAGGCGACTGGGGTTGTTCGTTGGCTCCTGTAGGAAGCACGGAAGTGGCATCTTTATGCATGAAGCTGCTTCTGCGGCTCTGTCAGCCCCACAGAGGAGCTCCCGGTCAGAGGGTCTCCGCGTCTTCTGGAAGCCATCGAGTATGATGGTGCCTCCTTGGTCCTCTGGGGGTCCCAGCAAGCACTCCCACTGGGCTCTCTTCCTGTGGAGTGTCCGCTCTGCGAAACAAACCCCAGGAACGCTCTGCAGATTGTTTATTCCGTTTGGACACCAGGAGAAGAGCCAGCGCCAGATTTGGAGCCAGCTATCAACTATTTAGCATAACAGGGACAGGAATAGCCCGTCGATATGTAAAAGAGAGAGCGAGAAACACAAGGAAAAACCCCACAAGCCTTGTTTTTGACATTGGCTTCCTCTCCTTTCCAGAACCCTACCAACGTGGCCGACATCCAGTGGGGCCATGGGCAGCCCACCTTTGGGCTCACAGGCACTCAGTTGGGCTGACGGAAGGGAGTAGGAGGGAGGGGCTGAGGCCTGGGCCCAGGCTGCTGCGGTGGCGTGGCGGCAGCACCCGTTCAAGGGCTCCTTCAGGAAGGAGACTTGATTGTACCTCTGAAGATCTATATCACCATCTCATCTGCTCTTTGGGCGGTCGGGCAACTCTGCTCAGTTACTGAGTCCTGACTCTGCTCAGTTATGAGTCCTGGCTTCGGGCCCGCGCAGTGAAAGAAGCTGTGATCAGAGAGATGTCTATCTCCTTCCTGTTGAACACCCGCTTTCCCGTCAGATGACTCACTTGTGCCCAAGTGGTGCCCATGGTGGAGTATGAGAACTCCCCTCCGTGGTAGGAGTGGGCCCGGAGGTGCAAGGGGAACGGGGAGGATGGGGATGCTGGAGAGGGAAGAGCAAGAGGGCTGTGGGGGGGCGCCCCCGACCTTTCATGCTGCTGGTCAGCGGGGCCCACACGCGAGCTGCCTGCTGCCAGCCCTCGCTTAACCGAGGCCCGTTTTCCTTCCAAAGGTGAATCAGTCTCTCTCGTTTCTCCGTGAAAGGACTTAGGGGCTTCAGCGGGTTTTCCGTGGCCACTATAGCAAGGCACCACCTAACTGGGTGCCTTAACACGATAGACGTGTTTCCCTCACGATTCTAGACGTCTGAACAGAAGGGTGACAAGGCCTTGCTCGCTCTTTGAGAAGCCCGAGAGCGAGCACTGGGCTCTTCCAGCTGCTGGTAGAACCCGGCAGGCCTTGGCTTGCGGCAGCTTCACTCCTGTCTCTGCCTCCACCTTCGCGCGACTGCCTTCCCTCTGTGTCTCTGCCCCTCTCTTCCTCTTGGCAGGGTCATGGACAGCTTGGATCAGGTCCTACCCAATTCTTTAGGACACGATGTTAACATATTTACATCTGCAAAGACCCTGTTTCCAAATGCAATCACACCCACAGGTCCTCCAGGAAACCAGCCTCCCCGCCCTCAAGTCCGGTCCACCCACAGACACTCTAGAACACCTCAAAAACTAACTCTTTTTGTGGGGGGTAGGCATAAGATACTGCTATGGATGGTGTCATTCATTTAACCAACGGCACAGAATCTAAAGCCCTGTTGAGAGAAGAAGCCAGTGTCAGCTACCTACAAACCAGCATACATGAATCGCTGACACGTACTCTTCAGTGACCGGCACTATTTGCTCCCAGGATGGGGGTTGGTGATAGGGCAAAACTCCAGTAACACTCATTCACAAAGGCAGGGCCCTGCCCACCAGGGTAGTCCACGTCATCATGAAGCAAAGAGGGTGTGGACATAGTGACTGCAGCGCAGTCCTGGACCACCGTTCACCGGGTGGCCTCAAGTCAAGGGATCCAGACCCAAGTCCGGTGACCGTGGTTTTGGGTCTTTGGGCGAGCAGTCAGTCACCTGCTTCTTCTCACACTTTGGAGGTTCAGCCTCAAGTACAGGGGCTTCAGGTGAGTCGGGGGTAACTCCCAGTTCCCTTAGCGGGGTCTCTACATCCTGTCCTGTGCAGGACGCTGTGCACCTCCAGAGAACAGAGGCTGAAGCCCCAGTCGTGTCCAGCACACAAAGCTGGGGCATCAAAGGCTCAACTGCCAACAAACCAGGTCAGAAGTAACCGATCAGGAACATAATATCGGGCAGGAGCAGAAATCCTTTCTAGGGGCGAGGAGTTCCGCATACAAGGGGTTTTCAGAGAGACCACGGGGAAGACAGAATGGAAAGATAATGGAATTTCCCCCCCAACTTGTTGAAATCCCTCATCTCGGCCGAGGAGGCACCGTGCAGCCCATCACAGGGCTGGTAGTGTGTGCTGCACGGGCAGCCCCGGGGCAGGACAGAGGAAATCGCCAGTGCTGTCAAGGGATACTCATGCCTCAGTTTCCCTACCTGTAAACCAGGTCAACAGTGTATTCCTATTCTTTTAAAGTCATTACATTGGGGGCTCGTACAACTCATCAGCATCCATCCATCCATCCATCCATCCATCCATCCATCCATCCATCCATCCATCCATCGTGTCAAGCACATTTGTACATTTGTTGCCATCATCCTCCTCACAACATTTTCTTTCGACTTGAGCCCTTGGTATTGGCTCCTCATTTTTTTCCCTCCCTCCCTCCCTCCCGGACCCTTGATAATTTATGTTACTATTATTTTTTGTTCCTATTCTTTCGTGGGCCTTTGTGAGACTTGCCAACCCTTAAAGCGTATAGGGACTGCCCAGGTGGACAGCTCCTTGGAGCTCAGTCCTGGGGGCGCCAGACCCCCCCAGGGCAGCAGCCCGGCGGTGGGTGGTGTTTCCACTGTGTGGGTCCCTCCCAGGGCGAACTAAGCATCCGTGTGTGGTTTGTTTTTGTGTGAAGGTTCAGGACGACGTGGAAGCAGCGAGCTCTGAAGGAAGGCAAGGGGAACGTGCACCCGCTCTACAATCTGGGCCATTTGGTTCCTGAGAGGCCCAAGGCCGCGCTGGTCCTTGTCCCCCTGATCTCCCCGCCGGTGTCCCCCAGCAGCCCTGCGTCCAACAACACTTCGGGCCACAGCGGACCAGACGCCCGGGATCCTCAGAGCTCTTACGACGTCAGCAACAGAGACTACTTCTTCCCCAGATAAGCCGTCTGCTCCGGACCGTGGGAGCGTCGGAGATGCCGCTGAGCTGTCTGTGTGTGAGCGGAGCTGCGCTGGCTTAGCAAAAAGGTGCTTCCTGACGCCATTCCAAGTGGTCTCCGTTCTTCGTGAGACCTCCAGTTTGACCCGCCAAAGGAGCCCCCAGAAAGTTCTACACGGCGTGAACATACACCGGCTGACCTCTTCCGAAGGAAGAGGTGGCTGAAGTGTTTGTACCACCCTTCTGCTAATGCCCCGCCTCTGGGGTTAGAGCAGTGGCTCTCAGCCTTCCTCATGCCTAGACCCTTTCATACCGTTCCTCGTGTTGTGGTGACCCCAAACCATCACATTATTTTCGTTGCTACTTCATCATTTTAATTTTGCTCCTGTTATGAATCGGGTGGCCCCTGTGAAGGGGTCCTTTGGCCTCCAAAGGGGTCGAGACTCACAGGTTGAGAACCACTGGGCTAGAGCGAACTTGGGCTCACCCGAAGAGACAGGTGTCAGGACTCTAGTGGTCAGCAAAGTGAGGTGTGGAGAACCCACTGACTACCCGGCCACACCTCATCCACAAGCTAAATCCCTCTCCTCCCTCCCCTCGGACGGGCGGAGTGGACTGGGCCAGTCGTCCGTACCTCCATGTCCACAGCACGCCTTCCATCTTCTAGCTCAGACTCTTGAAACCCAAGTGCCTTCAGAATTCAGTTTGCCTAGGCCTGAGGATGGCTCTCACGCAGCCCCCCGAGGCCGGGAGGGGAAGCTCCCTGGACTCTCGCCTCTCTGTCCCCGCTCCTGGAAAACAGCTGCAGAGTTAGGAGCAGCTTCTCAGGGCCTGGTGGCTTCGAAGTGCAGTGGTCATCACTGGTTCTCTGCTGGGGTTTTATAAAATGTGAATGATTGCCCAAAGCACTTGCCGGATTCAGAAGCGGCTGTACTGGCTTGATTTTCCTCCGTGGATCCCAGGACTTCAGGAGAGAAGCTGAGAGCCAGGGGAGTCGGGGACCTGGCTCTGCCCTCTCAGAAGCAGAGCTGAGGGCTGAGGGCACGCCTCCCCTGCAAAACCACCACTCGGGCAAGGAGGGTGGGTACCAGTTAGGACTTCTGCCTTGGTGAGATCAGAACGGTTTCACCCCACCTTTGTTTATTGTGTTTAACCGGAGCCTTAGTAACTGGGGGAGAGGAGAATGTTCATGTGGAACAGGCATGTGAAAGGGGTGGGGTGTTGGTGTGTGTGTGTATGTGTGTGTACGTGTGAGGAATACTTGGCAAACATAGTTTAAAACTTTCCCTTAAACCGCCCCCCCAAAGCAACAACAACAACGAAACATCCCCCACAGCTGAAGGTTGGTCCTGAGAGGCTGTCAGTTCCAGTATTAGCTGAGTGTCGGCATATAAATAACGTGGGGAAACGCACAATGGCTTTGTTTAGCACAAAACTGAGTCAAGTGACGGAGGAGGAGGGCAAGTACTCCCCGCCCCCTTTGTGAGATAAGAGATTCTGGTTTCAGTCTATTTTCTGCTTTTGTTTCCAAAAAGTGAGGGGGGGAAAACAACCCTCCCTCTTCTCTAATTTTAGGGGAAAGGCAGCTTGTTCCTGCTCCCACAGGTGACTGCGACGGAAACGGGCTGGGCTCCCCTCAGTTGGGAGCGAGCCTCCCACAGGGCTAGGAAGGGTCCTGAGAAAGTCCTCCTGGCCCCCTCACCCCCTCCCCCCCTCAAACCAGGAGACTTCTGAATCATGGTGACCCTGTGTGGTGTGTCACCACGGCGAACTGGACTCCCTGTGGCTTCCACGAGCTGGGTTTTTGGAAGTAGATCACCAGGCCTCTCTTCGCCGGTGCTCTTGGGTGGACCCAAGCTGCCACCCTTTGGGCGAGCAGCGGTCCCCGGGCAGTACTCTCAAGCCACGTGTGGGGGGAATCCCCGAAGTGGAGCCATGATTAAGATCAGTCATCACCACAGGCTAGAAACTCTCCCGAACAAAGACCCGCTCGGGATGTGTCTCTGTCCCTTAGAGAAATCACCAGCCCACCACCAGACAGGTAGCACACGGTTGGAAATGGCCAGCCCCAAACCCTTGCCTCACGTTGAGATCCTGTGGTGCCTCGGTGGCACAGTGGCTGAGTGTTTGACCAAAAGGTCCACAGGAGAAAGTGAGGCCGTACGTGTGCACACGCTGCAGGGCCGGTCTGCTCTCTCCTGTGGGGTGGAGGGAGGCGGAATCAGCTGGTCTGGCAGGAGGTGAGCGGGGGTCGCCCCTTGATGCGACTCCGCGTGGCAAGGTCACAGAGTCAGCCAGAAAAACAAAGGGCAGGTGTGTAGTATTGTGTTTTGCACTATATTAAGTTTCGGGGACTTGAGAACAGCAAAACTGCTGTTCAAGGGAAAGATCTAGAACGAGAATGTGCATGAGAAAGGGGGAGGATCAACCCACGATTCTTCCCCTCCCCAGCCCCCCCCCCATTTCTTTACAAGGTGTTACCCCCCTGGCATATTACCATAGCCAGTCTCAGCCAGCCAGAGATGTGAAATCCAGAGAGCGCCTGACAGTGGAGAGCTAGGCAGCTTTGATCTACAAGTTGTTACTGCTTTCATTATTATTGTAACGGAACTGTTCTGAGGTTTTTTTCTTTTCTGTTTTGCTTTTTTGTACAGAAGAGGGCTTTATTTCCCTTGATGTTTTTCATAAGCTAGTCTCCACGAAGGAACAGTGCTTGTCTTCTCTGACTCAGGGCACGCAGCGATGGACGCCCCCGGGAGTTTGTGGTGGCCCCACCCGTGCTCCCCGCCTCAGGTCGGTCCTGGGCATCTGCGGCACACGCTGCCTGTTCTCCTCACTCATGTCCGCAGCAGCCTGCCCGCAGCCAGATGTGCAGGCTGAGGACACAGACAGTTTGGGTTGGTCAGGACAACGTGTCCTGTCGGATGGGAAAAGCTAAGCGTTTGCTGGCTCTAGGTCGCCATTGAATGGAGCCATTAATTCTTGTGGCATTAATGAAATGTTGTTTTCTTTTGACGCTCACGGAGGGAGCATGGGACATTTCCATAAAGCCTTAGATGGCTCTGTGGAGGGCCTTGACCTTGAGGGCCGCGTGCCAGGCTCTGGCGCCCTGTCTATACAGCCTCCTTGTTGGCCCATGGGGAAGGACACCCCCCACCCCCTGCCAGTTGTGTCGGCTGCTCTCTGGCTAAGCTGCACGGAGAGCGACAGCCGGCGGTGAACAGAGCTCCGTGGGGCAGGCTGGGGGCCTTCGCGGTGGGTGACTTTCATGAAGACTAGGAATGTCGTGCCCTGGACCCCCAGGTATCAAGTTTCATGATCTCATCCCAGGTCCTGCTGAAGGCTGAGCCGGCTGGGGCGGGTGCTTAACACCCAACTTCAAGGTGCAGTTGGTGAGAATTTTGAGGTGCAAAGATTGCCCCTGGTCCATCGCCCCTGGTCCATTGGGGCGTGAGGCACCTCACCTAGTGTCCCCAGCCGCTGTCGGCAGTGGCTGCGGGAAGGCTGGCCAGCTGGCTCAGGCTCTGTGAGATGCTCCCGAGTGTCCCCCGAAGGTCCTTCCATCATCGTACCCTCCGTGTGGTCAGGTGCCAGCTTGGGGGGTAGGGGGGTTTCCATGGCAACCTTAAGGATTCCTAGGGCACGCCGCCAGTTTTATGAACATATGCTCAAGCTAAGCTCTGCTTCAGGAGGAAAGGAAGGATTGGAGCAGCGTGTAGCCAGGCTACTTAATGAATTAATATACTAGAGACCTTACTTGGAAGGAGATCGCATGCACATCTGTTAAATAGAATACCTCAAGCGTACACTGCCTGTTAAAAATGTTTTTTGAGAGCGTGAGATGCTCGTTTTTTACGTTTGGTGTGTTTGCGTACGTGTTTCTCTGATGAACCCGAGTGCCCGCCCTAAGACGATGTCTGTATAGGTGTCTGTATAGGCGTCTGTATGGGTGTCTGTATAGGTGTCTGTATATGGGGCGGAGGGTCAGTATAGTACATTTCTGCTGTTTTCTCTTTTTACCAACTATTTTGCATTTAAGTGTTTGAAATAAATAATTTCTAAAAAACATGCTTGAGGTGTCATTATGCTTTGGGTACTGGGGTCCTTTCAAAGCAACATTTGGATGATCAACGAGGGGGAAAGGGTGAGAAAGAATTACTAATTACGTAGGACTTTGAAGGAGAGAGTCCGCGGGGTCAAGTACACGGGTGAGCCACAGGCAAGCTCCAGGAAGCAGAAGACATTGAGCTTCTCGGGGCGCTTGGGTTGTAAGAGCGCTTCCCCACTTAGCCCCGGGACGGCTGGGGCAAGGGCGGTGGGGTTCTGCTGTGCTGTGCTCCCAGAGGGGCCTGTGGGCAGCCACACCGTGGGGGCCAGGCCACCTTGTAGATGGAAGAGAATCGCTCTCGGGGGTTTCCTTATGGAAGCCCAGTGAGACATTTTTCTCCCTCAGGAAGCCCTGTGGGTTTGAACCCCTGACCTTTTGATTAGCGGCCCAATGCTTGCCCCCTCGGTCACCAGGGCTTCGGTGACTCACCTGAAAACGGCCCTGGGCAGGGACAATTGGGGCCAGGCCACCGTAAGTGTTCCCCAGCAGAAGAACCAGCCCTCGGTGGCTGCTTTAATGGAGAAGTTGGTGTCTATGGAAACAGGTCAGGGTTGGGGAGGGGAAGCCGCATGAAGGCCTGGAAATTGTGTAACTCGCATCTGAAGTTCAAAATGTGAACCCCTGTCTGCAAGGGCCCTGCGTGGGGGTCGGAGGGAAGGACCAGGACTGTACCCAAGGGCCGCCCATCTCCTAGGACACCGTGTTCTTCTGGGGGAGTCGGTCCCTGTCTCAGTGCAGGAAGCAGATGTCCCCGGGGTGGCCAGGCTGAGTGGGCGGTGGGGAGCTCTGCAGGAGAACCACGGGAGTGGGCATGGGAGCCAGGAAACGGAAGGAGGTGCGTCCCTTCTCGACAGCGCTGGAGGACGACAGTGCGAGCTGGCCTTCCAGCATCTGGGAGAGCAGATGGTGAGTTTTGCAGGGGACAGCAAGGAACAGGCGGTGATTGGAACAGCCTCTTAGAGCATTCTCCCGGTTGGCTGTGGCACAAGCAGCCTGGACCTTACCCAAGTCTCTGAGAAAGGAGCCTGGCTTTCAGAAGGACTTCAGCATCCTCGTTGATGCACTGTGTGTGTGAGAGAGTGTTCGTGTGTGTCTTGGCAGGGCGGGGGCAGGGGCGGAGGGGGGGCTCAGGACCACTCCTTGGGCAGGGTCAGGACTCACCAGGGGGCCTGTGACTTAGCCATATCGAGTAGGGAGGGTGAGCCCGGCACCACCCCTCCCACCCTGCCCAGC